GTGTGGTGGTGAACGCGTTACTCCCTCGGGGAAGGACAATAGCGCGTTCGTTCCCCACTGCATACACCTGCGGTCCGGAGTTTTGTAAATATCTCAGGATCATTGAAGTTATATTTCGAAATATACCTCTGGGAGGTGTTTCAGGTTGTCCGGCTGCGATGTAGAGCAGGGGGATTCATTCACCCAAGCTGAGAAGGGGTCCGGCGTGTCTATCAGGAAGCCCAACTAGAAGTAAACCAATGGCAGGATCCACCACTGTATTGTTGCCAAACTAGTCACATGGCGACAAATCTCTCTTTGGCCAGCAAGAGCGGCGAATACGCATGGCGGTGACGACCTGGGACAGCCTTTAGCTAGACTAACCTCGGGGCTTCAGGAAAAAACGGCAGCTAAACCAGCAAGACTCCAAAAAAGTGGAAATTATATGCTCGGACTGATATAGCCAGTGAAGATGTGGCATCCAATAATGAATGAGTAAATATACGTCAGCCATGCGTTGTGTACCGTTGTAGTTACACTTTATCCAATTGTTGTTTTACGTGCGTATTTGTAGCCGTTACCGTTTTCCACTTGTTCTTACACACATTTGCCTAAACGTTCCATATTGAAGCATTCCACAATTGGTCTCCAAGGCTTGGTATCTAGATAGACTTTCCTTTTCAGCATTAATGGGAGTTATAGATAGCAGTAGGTTTCTGGACATAGGCAGAACTGTGTTATTGTTGTTAATGTTCGAGCAAAATAATCACTAATATCTTTGGAAATGTCTTTAGCAGTGCGTGTAGCGCAGTGGCATCAGGCAGCGCTCTGTAAGACATAGAGCATCGATCGCCGCTTTTCAGGCCTGCCAGCTTTCCATCTCTTCTGGGTCGCAATTTAGTGCCAGACTTGTCTAGTAGGAAAGCAGCATTGGTTAGATATATCGGCACCCCACTCGCGAGTCATTTTAAAGGCCAAATGTGCACTCATTCGCCTCCAACAATGAGTAATGAAGTCGAATTCATGGCGTCTCCTTCAGGGATTTGTCAACGCCGAGTGCTTTATCGTTTTTATCCTGTTATCTTTAAGAAATGACCCTTATCTAACTTTGGCATAATGGATCAAAACTTTTTTCTACTCACCATCTTGCAGGGGGTAGGTGTGAAATGCTTATTGTAGCAGACGTTTTGATTCATTCGCCTTCCCCAGGGTCGCAATTAATCGAGCCCAACATCCACAGTGTTTTTGTCAACCTTCCATAAAGTACTGAAAAAATCAAAACAATTTATAGTAGTCATCTGTGGAACCCTTTCACATTCTGTTTATTCTCCCATTGGAAACGGTTCATTCTATGTTGCACATGCGTTCTGTGCTTTGATAGTGACATGTTATATATTTCCAAGATGTTGTGATCCTCTTTTATCATTATGAGTTCGTAGGTGCTCGAATTCTATAGAGCCCGAGTCTTGCTGCAGTTGGAAAGCTAGATTTAGCCTTCGATGAGCTCTGGATGATCAGTGATGATGACGCTTCAGAAGACAACGGGGCGAAAGCATGCCCTGAGTTGAGCGAAGAATTTACTGAGGTTGCAGTAAGTGCATTTCGTTGCTTCCCTATCCAATTTCTTCAATTTTTTTTGTTTCTTTAGTGTCGTTTTTTTTTCATATTTGTTATGATATGATTCTCTTTCAACGACTGAAGTTCTTAGAGTTGAGAGTTCTCTTCGATCAGCAGGCACTGTGAAAAAGGTGGAGGCGTGGAGGAATGCCACGTATTAATTTCAAGGTAACTACTAATGCCTAAAATTTTCCTTCCTAAATTGCTTTTTTTATTTATTTCTTAAATTATTGTGAATTTTTTTCTTCCGAAGTGCAGATATACGACCTCTTTTCTACGTAGCCACCTAATGTTTTCTAGGTGCATGGAGAATCTATTACGACTACCTGCACCTAGTCTTGGTCGACGACTCCATGACACCAACATTATAAACTCATTGTTGTTTCCGGATTGTTCATTACCTTTTGTTGCTTGCAAATGGGAAGCGATAATGTGTTTATGTTGTAGTTTGTGAAACAAATTTTCTTTTCTCAAAGCCAACTTGCACCAACAGAACCACTTTTTTCCTTAGAAGACAATGAAGTAAATGACGAAAGTCCTAATTTCCACAAGCCCTTTCAGAACGGATCACATTATATAGCGAATATCTCACTATTACCTGTTTATTTCACACACCAAGTCAGAGAGTAAACTATGCGGTGCTCATATTAACGAAAAGAACACCTGGTTTTGATTGGATGCTGCGAATCTATTTCTCATTCCAATGGTAGAAGGACAAAGATCTGCGTTTTTTTTTTCGTTTCTAAGTGTCGCACCGTATATTCGCCATCATTAAGAATCGTTAGAGGTGATATGAATGCATATTTGGCTTATAAAGTGACTCGCGCTGGTCTACCGATGTATCGAGTCGGTTGTATTGTCTTCTCAGACAGGTCTACTGCCAATTCCCCGACCTCGGAAGGATGGAAAGCTTGGCGAACCTGAGGTGTGGGAGTGTAATCATGTTTATTGCGAGGGTTTATTTATGTAGTACAACCCACTCGTGTCGTATTGCATTCCAGTGGTGTGGTATTTATGTGATCTCGTTCAACTTAACCAAAGCGCTCGATCCTTATGAAAGAGTTATTTTAGAAGTTTCCAAGGTTTTAGGTGTGGAACATGTGGTGTTGAGCACTATTTTCTGAAGAACGGTGAAAAAAATACGACAGTAACGACTGAACACTGTTTTGAAACATCGAACGCAATAAACCACAGCGGTGCTCATGTACTTTGTTGATACCAGCGCTTCTAGAACAAAATTCGTAATGTACTGCCGCTAAATATGTCTATAACTGAATATCATCTATAAAAGCTCTCTCGTTGGCTTATCTCCTTCCACTCGGGTGATTTTTTAGAGTGCCCTTTTTTCATCTTTAGTGGGGAATTGCGATGGAACAAATCAACAAGATTATTGAGATAGTTTCTATTATCGGAGCGATTTCCAAAGTCTAATTTTGGGCTCTTTGGAGGCAAGTTGTTGTGTTAATGTTATCGAAAGAAACGTTGGATTGACTGTCTGAGGTAAACAACATCCTTATATCCATAGTAGGGAAATAATTCTGTCACTCCAGCCTCGAGATGCTGGTCTACTAATCGTTTGAATCATTGGTACGATAGTGATTCTGACGTCGTAAGAGCGTCGTTCTCACCAGGCAATAAATCTCTATCCGATTTTTGATGACCGCGGACCTCTCTGGAGTCGCCTAGGGGCAGTTAGCTCGGTATTTTAAAAAACACCTCGTTTCGCCAGTATTCAATAAGTCAGGAAAGAAGGAACAGGTACTCAAACTGAAAGCCGACTCCACTATTGAAATCGACTATCTTTGTAGATGATGGCTGCATGAAAACCAGTGAAATGAAGTATGCGCTAAGACTAGCACAACATCTGAGAAATGACCATCTAAATATCCAAGTGAATGTATTATCAGTAGAACAATGTTGCGTAGTTTTATTTCGTTACTTCGTCTCCGTCTGACGCAGAGTTCGAAATCGTGCTTTGGGGTTTTATAGGGTGCTTTCATTTAAAACACTTTTGCGAGGTAAAGGCTGGTCTGTGGCAAATAGCCAGAAAGATTATCTTCGAATACTTGTGAGTGATAGTATAATCTGGTTGAAGACAAGGATTTTTACCGCACCACTGTTTGCTGGATTTGCTTTATTCGTTGTTTTCGGAATTGAGTCACAAGACGTTTCACTCGCTTCACTGCTTCAAATGCCAAAAATGCTGAGCTTTCTGGGCAGTATTCCTTTATATGATTGTAGACCGGCACACGATATTCCTGAAAAGTAGTTCTTGTTTTAGAAAGGATCAGGTCACGCTCTGCTCTCACGTTATAGATTCGGTACCTGTTCAACTTTCGACTTGATTCAGATCATCGTCTTGGGTATTAGTGGCTAATTTGTGGTGTTAAGCTAATTAATCTCTCCAATTTCTGACATATCGGGTACAAGATATTTTGAAGACTTTATCACCACTGGTCGAAACAATTGTTGTCTAGAAGTCAGGAATAGAATGTGATGAGTTATAAAATTATTTATGGCATCGATTAGATGCAATGCGAACTTCCGCGCTCGAAGAGGTCAAACTTTTTGCCATAACAATACACGGAGCTTTGGTGCGCTATAGACTGAAACTTGTACGATTGCAATGGTTATAGATGAAAAAAAGTATGAAACATGTGTAAACAGCAACAGACAAAAGAATTGCTTTTTTGTGCGCCGGAACAAGCAAACTGCTCTAATCATTGGCTTTGAAAAACGATCTTCGAAAAACCGCGAAACAACAGGAAGTGAGTAAGCACTTAATTTATGTTTCTACGCTAGAAAGGTGCTTGAAAGCCTTACTTCAATGTGCTCTATCGCAATTTTTTCTGTTCTCAAGTCACAGAGGACTTGGAGTGTCGCGTTTCAAATCGTCTCATTTTATTTATGTATAGTCTACAGGCAAGCGCAATAACATTCGCAGGTAAGTTCTAGTTGCACGTGGACATTACATTAACTATTGGCATTGGACACATTAAGTTTGGACATGCAAACTCCGTTGGCGAGACAACAGAGCAGGAATAGCCGGAATTGGAAAAATATCAGGATTACATATTTGTCTAGAATTTTGTGCGTCTGATCTTTGTTAGTCGCATACTGAGCTACTTAAGAACAGCGTAATCATATTGCAAATCCTGTCGAATTAGCGTTTGCTCGTAGAACTGTGGATGAACGTGAACGACTACTAATATTTTTTTTACAAAACACAATTTATGAAATCAAATGGCTTGTTATACAACATGTGCGAAGTGGAGAAGCGCGAACTGCAATTCTGAAGATTTTCCAATCAAGTTAGTCAAGTTCTGGTTAGACTGAGTGGAACAAGCTTTTCATTTTGTAGAATTTATTAGCACTATGAACACGTGTACTAGGAGTACACTCACTCATTTTCCAACATGAGTCCGCATATGCGTGTGAAGATTAGAAGCTCGATTGAATGCTTTTTCACAATGGATGCACACATATGGTTTCACCTAAGTAATATATTTCAAACTACAAAACTAAAGAACGTTGAAGTTCTCGAAAATTAATGCACTTGCTTGTCAAAAACATACTTACCGTTGTATGCGTAAGTCGGTGTCGAGTAAGGTTTCCAGGTTGGCGGAAGGCGCGACCGCAGTGATCGCACTTGAAAGGTTTTTCGCCAGTATGAATGCGCTGAAACTGTTAGCGCTTTCTGATTTAGAGAAATGAACATGCCTTTGATCAACATATTTAACACTGATGCACCGTTATCCCAGTACTACGAAGAGAATCGACTTCACCAGCAATCAACGATATTCACAAGGAACATCAAAAATTTTCAAGCAGCGGCCGAACCTACGCGCATATCCTGGAGGTCTTTGTGGATCATGGATGTGAGGAAATTAATCGTATACGTCGAGTGCTATCTTAACATCTAAAAGTGTCGAAAAAAAACAGATACCTTAGAATCTTTTAACTTTGGATAAAAAAATATTTGATCACAAAGTTGGTGTGAGTCGTTCGATGGTTATTAAAAAGCCGTCAGTACAAATCAAGTCTCACATCAAACACAATTTAATTGCCTGTGCTTTAAAACCGCCCGACTTAAGCGAAACATTAACTCCACAACGGGAACTGTGCAACATGTTTCGCGAGAATAACATCAACTCCTCTCGCTGTTCTAGAAATGTCCACTCGAAGCGGTTCCTATTCTCGTCGTCAATTCGTGACCGAATTCGACATGTGCTGACAATGTGTGCATGATTCCATATGATTCCGACTTGGCTCATCTGGCGCGAAAATCCAGTGCGCGTCAAGAGCACTGGGTGGACAATGCGATCACTCTCTAATCCCCAGCTCCAATCATTCCTCACTAACATAATTGCCACTTCTCAGCCATCTCCTACAGTATCATTCACCCACAACATAGTCTTATGTAAGTGAATCCTATATACAAAATCAAAACACTGCCGCAACAATTGCAGTTCACTCGAGTTCTCCATTAATTCGTGATGAGCTAACATTCAACTGTGATGTTTTAAATTCCTGTGCCAGTATTTGCAAATTTATTTCGATCCATTTTCATGAGGTTTTGCAACCTCACTAGAGTTTCTAGACTCTGTAGAGTGAAGAACCTGAAAGTACTGATTTCCTTCAGCACTTTTTTCACAGCAACTGATTGCTGCCACTGAAATGTCTTCTCACGAATAGAAGTTGAACCGACCTGCGTCGTGCTGCATTATTCAATGGCCTATGAAAGGCAGCCGTCTAGTATATATTGTCTCAGTCGTCAATGGGAAACTACGGCGATTAGTAGGCTTTACATAGACATAGAGACTGCCCAAGGACTTTACGCTTTCAGTATTAATTGTCTAGCTCTGCACGATATCACTCGTTAGTTCAGACAATAAAAATACTTGTTGTAAATACTTCGGGCTGCAGGATTCAGCTCTTAAACTCAAACAGTTTGCGAACAAATACCTTTGTACCTTGGGAACAGGATATTAAGTAATTATCAAGGACAAACCGATGCTCATCACATATGGGAAGCTTTTTATTATTAATAATCAGCATTGGGGTTCATAGGCTATACAACTTGCGATTATTACCTTGTGAGTGATCAGCGTGTTACTTCTGCTGAACGCTTTGTCACACACGTCACATCGATACTTCTTCGGGTTTCCTCGACCGACGCCATCCGTTTTCGTTGGTCGAAAGCTTGTTATGGAACGACATAAAAAAAGTTCTGAAGGAATGAAAATGTCACGTTTTTTGCTAGAAATTCCAGATGCTGCAGCGAATTTGCAGAATACCTTTGTTGACGGTTGCCATCATAGTGGACGAATGTCGTAGGGATGACAACGCTCCGTATTGTAGCGTCTGTTGCATGATGTGCAACTTCGTGAAGTAATCAAACGGTGTAGTAGGCAGAAATTTCTGAACATTATGTTGTCAGTCATTAGTTCCTTTTCAGGAAACATAAATTTACCGGTTGTGATGAGTTGTGTGAATGTGGTCGTGAGCAAGCATCCGAACAATTTTCATGGGTCCTGTCTATCACACTTGAAATCAAGCAAGTTAACCGATTACTGCCGAGTTCTCTTTCACTAGTTTTTAGCATTGTCGAACTTCCTGCCATAGAGGTGGGTAAGAGCCTGGAATTAATACAGGTATAAATAATCTACGTTCAATTGAACTCGAACAGCGTCAAAGTTCAAATAGACATTATCAAGGGTTTTCGTTTCGGTTCAGTAGTAGTGAGTAACACAAAATACACTTTTTCACAGAAAAACATACCACGCCGTGTTCACAAAGCACAAACGCTCTGTCGTTAATTATCACTTTAATATATTTGTGATAGAACTCATTGCTTAGAACTCACAACTTTTACATAACCTGAACCACGTTAAATTTATCAGTGTCAACAAAACGAGCTAAAGTAGAGAGTCATTGTCGGTACTCATTACTCATGATAAATGGGCGTATTAAAAATCCTTAAAAAATAAAAATTAAAAATAAAAAACAGAGTCGCCTTGCTGATTATGGGGTAAGATGACGAGGACGTCGCACAGCGACTGGTTGTAAGTGGGTGATTTTCGATTAAAGAGAAAGAGGATGAAGAATTAAATTTCGTGGATAGAAAGAATTCTTTGATGGATTACATTAAGCTGTGCTAATACACCCAACTGTCTTTTAGAATTTAATGCCAACCCTCGGGAATCGTGGAAGGTGAAGGCTTAGTGGGTCGCTCAGCTGGAGGGAATTATTCTTTCAGAGTTACAGTACGTCGGCTATTCCCAGCTTAGGCATGTCCTTTTAATTATTAAAGGTGCGTGTCTATCGTAAGCCAAGAAGGGATGATGAAAATATTTTCGCAGAATGTGTTAATCGGAAAAACACAATGGTAGCACAAAGAATAGCTGAAATTTTATGCCCTAGAGAGGGCTCGACGACACTGAATTTAGTGCGCCCAGCAGAACTCGCGCAACGGAAAGCTTCAATACACGTTAAGTTGCTCTCTCATCTATGGTAAAATAAAAACATTCCAATAGTATAGAGCCTCATCACTGCTGCCGGTGTTTTTGTGTGAAACCTTTGATGAAAAGGAAGAGGTTAAAAAGTTGTAGGTGAAGGAGTCTTTTTTCCAACAAGAATTGCCAACAACAAGAATACAGGTATAATTCGGCAATTCTCTCTGGAAGCTCAGATATGACTAAAAAACCGCTTGAAATTGCAGTAATACATGAGCGGCTGTTATGGTAAACCAAGAAAACTATCATCAAATTTCGAAAAGGTGACGTACCGTTTTTGTGGAGAAAAGGAATGATTCTTCTCCTTTGTTGCTTGACCTTCTTCCAGTATCGAATCAATGAGGAAGCAGGAACTGCTTTTCACGGTCATGTCTTCGCTGAAATTTATGGATAGTGAAATGATTTTTTATAGTATTTTTATCAAAATGGAAAAGCATGCACGTTCAGCAGTGAAACGCAACCCAGTCTTATTATGAAACTTGCAAAATAGTGAAGGTTTCGGGAAAAGTGTTCGAATAGAGGGACATTCTCAAAATCATCTAAATCGTGGCTGCTTAGGTACTCTTTCACCACAGCACTATTATTGGTCATAAATATAGCGCAGCTCATTTTTATTACTCATTAAAAGTTTTCATAGAGCTGGGGCTATTCATTCTATTAAAATAGAAATTTTCAAACAAATATTAAAAATTCAGGAGCGAGTTGTTAATATACATTTCCAAGTCACGAGTTAATTGGATTTAACTGAGTCAATTTACGGCAATTTCTTTGCAGTGGAAAGGATGGATAGAATTGTGGATCGTGTGAGTTCTATGTAAAGGTTCCATTTAAACGTGAAGCAAAGCAGAAGACGGCGTAGTATATGCTGCCAATGGCTGCAAACAGCCTACTGTAACATCACGAGAAGGGGCGGTGCGTATTCTTGGCTTTTCCAGGGCTGCACTAATGCCCTCCCTTCTCACTCTGCCTCTCTTTGGTTCACCTCGCACCTCAGCCACTCTATTCGCTTGAATAATTGACGACATTGCTGATATGGAGGATTATATGAACAACTGACGCGCTTTGGCAGCGCAAATATTTGTCAGGAATACTGTAGTAGGAAGTGCTCGGAGTTACGGTAACCGGATGACGCAAAACAATTGAAGCTTACGGGAAAACTATGCCAGAGATGATATCTTCGTGAAAGATGAAATAGAATGCTATGACGGCGGCGGGTGACTGCACGTGATTGATTCTACGCTTTTAAATGGTGGTTAGCTTGTATATCAGTTCAGTAATGAGGCTTCTGTGAGAAATCTACAATAGATAACTACCTCCCACATTTCATAAGAAGAGGTAATGTTAAGGATACTCCATACTTCATGCTCTTGTACTGTATATCTTTCCACCACAGCAGAATATTATTGCCACTTGCAGAACATTTTTGTGAAGTTATTATACGTTCGACCTTAAGAATTCTGTAAGATTTTTCAAAACATGAGCTATATGTCAAACTACTTTCATCATCCTGCATAACTCTTTGTCATTAATAACATGGAGTCGGCCGTTAGTGCTTAGTTGACTACCACTGTTTTCGCACCAGCCTGAGAACTTCTCAAATTTGATTTGTTCTTTTGCAACCTTTTTTCAAAAGACAATCTAATTCAATTTTTGGTTTGGGTGCAGATTTAAGATTTCTTGCCTTTTTACTACACTGACATTTTCATTGATGTTTGAACGTGGTTTTCCTGAAATCTCGAGAGTGCCGTGGTAGGGCATTTTCAAATCTTCACGACATGTAGTCCTAGTTATCATGGTACGGGGATATGTTTTTGCTCGCGATTTGGGTTTTCGTGCGATGGAAGACTTCATCATCTACTATTACTGCAATTACTGACATTACTACTACTTACAACATAGGTGTCGCCGCACTGATTCCTGAGATTGCTCGACCATCGACTGAGAACAACAAATGCGACCGAATCTAACCGATTGGTAGGAGTAGTTTAAAAACGTCTGTTCCTGCTTTTCTATTAAGATTTCACTGAAAGTGATAAGTGCTTCAATATGAACAATATAGTATGTAGCATATAACTGTCATGTACTCCGGCTATAATCTCATCAGTGCATCTCGCTCCCAAGCAATGCGCTTCACTAATTACTTCATCTAACCTCCTGACAAAGCAACCATCATGATCCACAGTTAATTGCATGTATGTGAAGAGTACGGATATCGTGAGAATGACGCTGAGTTACAAAATTTCACAAAAAAATTTCTTGTCTACAATTTTAAATCAATTCGGAACAACTGAACGATTGAAACGAAACGTATGTTGTTGAATCTGGGTGTCAACGCCATGTTAGCTGATCAAATACGCTTAAATCCACCTAATGGCAACATATGCTATGATAAATTAGCATGCGATATTCGTCCCCATGTTTCAGTTTTCTGCTATCCCTAGTAGCCAGCTACTATTTCGGCCAAAGTGACATGACTGCACGATTCGACTGCACTCTTTCACAAACTAAATTCTACAACCACGTCCTTATGGCAATCCTCTAGCCGCTATTCTGGTCCTATGAATACCAGCGTTTGGTGGGTCATGTGTCGATTTCACAGTTGAGTGTGCCGTCAAGTTGGTTGCAGGTGATGACGATGACGCAATAATCACTACACACTGGTTGCGCTTCTGGAGCAGAAGTATGCATGAGACGATTTCTGCCAATACTTTCGGGAGAGAATAAATATTTTCCATAGTATGTAAATGCCTTCTGCAAAAAGCGTTGCTCCAATCTATCAATTCTCTAGCGATGATAGAACGCTTCTATCGCACGCGATGATGCCTATTAATAAGTCACATATCTTACGCCTTGCCGTCTCGCAGTGTCTTGAATTTTAATGAAAAACCTACGGAGGCAATATTCACATAGCCTCCAGAATTAGTGGTTCGAAAGTTTTGAATATGGCCTAATTAAAAAGAAAGTCTACTCGAGGAATGACCGAAACATTGCGGAATCGTAAAAAAAATGTTATAAGATCGAGCCTTATACAATCTCTCATTTCATGTGCATTCACCAATCTCTTACACGCAATTTTAAGCAAAAGAAAAGATGAACAAGGAGCTTCACCTGCACTTTAGAACGATGGACTTTATAGCTGTTTCATTCTGGTAACATCTAATTCTTAGCACAGCATTCCAGCAATTTCTCGCCACATAACATTTGAAATTGGGAAGTTCAAATAAAAAAGATTTCCATTTACAGGTTTTTAACTAAAAGAAGCAAGCTCTCTCATTCTACGACGGTAAAGCTACGACATTTTACACACCACTGAGCATTTTTTTTATTTTGCTGTTCAAAGCTGATATTTCAAAGAGCTAAGCCATCGAAAAGAAAGAATTTGTCCAGGGATTTCTAGTATGCTCCAGGATATTTTTCGTGTTTGCGTCTATATTGCCTGCCTGAGAAGTTATAAAAGTCCAAATTTGAGAGGCATTTCTCGAAAATTGCATTTTTAGGCAAGTTGAAAATTGAAAAGTCACTTCTTGAATACCATCAATGCCTTAAGAACAATAGGGGTCAAGCTCTTCAACGACGAAATCAAGTTATCAACCACAGAGTACTCTTGTTATCGAAAATTTAATGGAAATAATGGAAAAACCAGCACCAGATTTTACCTTTTAATATAAGAAGTAGCTGAATTGAAATATTCCATTGAAAGCCCAGCATAATGGGTCTTGGAAGAACTGTAGCAAAAGTTCAGCGTCTGTGAAGTAAAAACACACCGTGGAAATTATTTATATAAAACTCATTCGCATCTATGGTATTACCACCGAATATGTCCCTGTTGCGCAAAAACTTGCCTTCCGCAGTCAACCT